TATGTTTTTTGGTATCAAAACTATGTGTTATGGCTTTTCTTTTACGTACTCTGTTATGATGTTTTGTGAAAAATCTGTACGTGATGGAGAAAAATGGATATCATTTTCAGATTCAGTGTTCAGGAATTACAATAGAATATGTAAAAATTTTCAAGACAATAAAACCATCTCAGGCCTGTGTTATTAATCTACAGATGAAAGAGGATAGGTAACACTCAAAATTAAAAACAAACTACTAGTTGCATTCAGGAAGTTCTTAAACTTATAAAAGATGTAATATAACTAGCTTTAAGTATGAACAGTACCATTATATACAAGAAAACAACCAAATACTCAGCACAAGTTAAGCAAAAAATTGATAGGAAAGTTTTTAATTTTTCACTAATTTCACAGAAGGTCAATAAAACAATGTTGAACGTTTTACAGTACCACATGTGAAGCAAGCTGTGAATTTTACAGTATCACATGTCAAGCAAGCTGTGAATTTTACAGTACCACATGTGAAGCAAGCTGTGAATTTTACAGTATCACATGTCAAGCAAGCTGTGAATTTTACAGTACCACATGTCAAGCAAGCTGTGAATTTTACAGTACCACATCTGAAGCAAGCTGTGAATTGTACAGTTCTACATGTCAAGCAAACTGTACCTTATAAATTACAAAGTTGCAGTGTCATCCGTTACATTTCTCACTAACCAGTATCTCAAAGTTTTGAAATACCTCTTATTTTTCAGCTTTATATTAATTCTTTCATTGAAATGCAACTTATGTAAGAAACAAATCAAGCAAAATATATAATTAATTCAACAATATATAAACATATACAATTACAGAATGTGTCATGTGACCAAAAGATTCACAAGAATAGATGCTACTATTGGCTACTAAATCTAAATAAAAAACTGGAATTTTGCAAGTTTTCCATTTTTAACAATGATGTTTTAACAAGTTTCTCACTCTCTCTGTATTTGTTTTCCTTTAGATATATAATGAAAACAATATGAAAACACCACCAAAGCAAAGCCTTACATAAGAAAAAAAATTAATTAACAATGTATTTTCTAACATGTTTTCATATCAGTATGTGATTTGAAAGTTTTGAATCATACAGATAGTTGCATGCTACTTGTTACTGTGTTTTAAAAACAAGAACAAAAAGGTATTGATATCATAAATGTATCATCGCTACAGTGACAAGCTAAAAGTCTAAAAATGGCAAAATGAAAAGATTTAAAACAAATTATATCCTACTTTTCTAGCTAGGTCTAGTCAGAAAATAAATACAGTTAGACAGATGTTTGGGATTATAATATATGAAAGAAGAACATAAAGAATGGTAAGTTATACTTCAATACAATTACGTACAAAACACGAAATTTTTGTACTGAATAGATCTTTCTGAGCATCGTACTTTTCCCATCATTCCACATCATGAACTGCAAGCCTGTTCCTTAGGAAGAGGACACTGTTTGTACTCTTTGTAAACACAATAATATCCACAGTGTAATGAACTTGAGATAAATGGATCGTTGTTTGTAACATTTACTTTGCTTTCAGATTTTAACGTGTTTAATTTATCCTGAACAAACAGCCAACTATGCGATGAGTCCAGCGATAAAGGCTAACACTCCAACTATACTATGGCCAGGATAATTACAAGAAACTTTTTCTAGGAAAGAAAAATACAAAAATATAAAAACACAAAAATGAATAAATGGTAGGTAAAGAAAAACAAAAATCAAATAAGCCCACCTTTTATTATAAAATATAATATACTGTTCATAAACCAAATATAGCATGCAAGAATTTACCAATATTACACAAAATAAAAATAACAAAAAATACTCTAGAAATTATCAAACTTTACTGTAAATATCAACTATAGAGAAGCATTTCAAACTTCAAGAATTTAAAAATTGGATTAAAAAAAGGCTTTTGAGGGGTGGGGGAAGAGGAAGAAATATACAGGACTTTGAGTATAAAAAAAAATCACCTCTGAAGTGATCAACAAAAATAAATTTTGTTGTAATCAAGGATGAACACATTTTCTGGGTGTTTTTTTTTCAGTAAGGTTACATCTTTAAAGTTATTTTAAACAAAGAGAAAGATTGTGAAATAACCAATCAAGAATGATGATAAGATCACAAGGTGATATTTATAACTAGAATTTTTTCGTTGTTTAGTAGGGGCTGAATAACATGTTGAATTACAATTATAAAGTTTTCTGTGTTACATCCAGTCTGAAACCTGTTACATGTTAATTAGTTATTCTTGTTGAATCACAAAATATGTTTGAAATCATTGTCGTCTGTGGGGGAGACTTGCCCCCCCCCCCAGAAAAATTAGAAACATAATTCTTTCTTTATTCATTCAGCATATGTATCTGAATTTTTTTATTCAGTTCACAATTTCACACTTTGTCCCTCCCTGTAAAAAGTTCTGTAAATACTATGAAAAGTCATTATTCTCAAATTATACAGATCTACAGATAGGTCAGGATTTATTAATTCAAATAAATAACATGGGAGATCACTTGGAAGTATAACTCAATAACAATAAGACTTCACAAACAGAAAAATGACATTTATATGGCACGTTTAGTTATGGTATAATGTACTTTACACTTAATTAGCACCTGAGTTGTAACGGAACACTATCCTGGCATTTCTTGGAAGCTTTTCGTCAATAAATAATTTTTTTTATAGCAAACTATGCCTGAATTGGATGTGTTAAAATGTATTAAAGAATATTGGCATCACCTCGTTCTGAGATTTGTAACAGCAAACTCACACTGCCCGAGCATATAACAGAAAGAAACATTAGGTATTTTTGTTGATTTATTGTGAGTGTGTACAACATTTTCCATATATGTGATTCAATTTACATTTCTCTTTAGGCTCCATAAACATCAAATATGAAAGGAGCAAATACATAAAAAAACAATATTATTTTTATAAATGAGCTAACAAACACGCACTTAAGGTGACGTACAGGACATATCTGTACTGATATACTTACATCTCCTTACTTGCTCTGTTACGCCCAAAGTGCTATGAGTTATTATCATTTATGCCCTTCTTTCACACTTAAATCATACTATGATCAGCTGATTAGTTTTGCAATAGTAACAATGTCTCCCAAACAAAAACCATACTTTTCTTCAATGTCACTAGTTTTAAAATATTTCTTTAGTTTATATTTCATATACTTATTGTTTCAATTTTTTTATATCGGCTGTTTTGTTTTTAAGTTTTCACTAAAAAAAACAAGTAAAATACATTCAATCACAACTTTGTTAAATAATATAGGCAAAACTTTTAAAGGAACTTCTTTATCTATCTGTTTAATGTGCAGTTCATGCTTTATTTAAACACATCTTGTTCTGTATGTACCTAAGTAGTGTTGTACTCAATACTTACAAAGACAACTTACAATAACTACTGTATGTTTAAACAATGTACTTAAAACCCTTATATACAATAAGTTCATTCTTTGAGTTTAAAAATTTGTAAGAACTGTAATTTTGAAAAACAAAATTGAAAGCTACTATATCCTTTACAATAGACTTATTATATAAAAATGAAGGAATTTATGTCAGTAAAGGAAACTTTTTTTTTCTATTTACTTTTATTGAATCATTTATTGTATAGTCTTTAATATGATCAGCTTGCTAAATATTTGAGTCCAAACTTTGAACTTTGTCTTGCTTACCCTTCTAGCTTTGCTCTGATAGACAAGAGCTTTTTTTGTGTCCTGTTTGGCTGCTTCAATATAATCTTTAGCATGTTCCACTTGGTACTCAATCCTATCAATCATTTCTCCCTAATAAAAAAAGACATTTAAAATTTAAGTAATACTGTTACTGAGAAATATTACAACAGGAGTATTGTATTAGGTCATCAAGAAATTAACATCGCTTTTTTTTAGATGAAAAATCCCAAACAACTTATATATCAAAACAAAACATTTATTAAATGTAATAGTCTCCATTCTTATCAATGATGCTTTTCCATCTTACAATCAAGTTGTTAATGCAAAAACCATGTTGATGTCCTCTTTACATACGTTTTCCCATTAAAATGGTGTTGCAGGGAACGAATAAGATGGTAATCTGATGGTGCAAAATATCGATAATCTGGTAGGTGGGGGAGACCTTCCCAACCCAACTCCATACATTTGTGTTGCATCAAACGTGCCACATGTGGACGTGCATTGTCGTGGAGAAGAACACCTTTCTGGTTGACGAATGAAAAACGTTTCTAATGAAGGGCTTGATTTAAATGTTCCAGTTGCTGACTATAGATCTCTGCATTGATGGTTCAAAATG